CCACATTTTGAATGGCCGGAGCCAACTGTAGGCCACTTCGTGTTCTTCGTGTTCCCAGAACACCATTCCCAGGCCACATTTTGAATGGCCGGAGCCAACTGTAGGCCACTTCGTGTTCTTCGTGTTCCCAGAACATTATTCCCAGGCCACATTTTGAATGGCCGGGGCCAACTGTAGGCCACTTCGTGTTCTTCGTGTTCCCAGAACACGATTCCCAGGCCACATTTTGATTGCCCGGAGCCATGTGGGCCTCTTCGTGATCTCCGTGTTCCCAGAACACCAGTCCTGTGCCATATTTTGAATGCCCGAGCTGATGCAGGCTGAGGCCGAGGCAGGCTGAGGCCGAGGCAGGCTGAGGCTGAGGCTGAGGCACGCCGAGGCAGGCTGAGGCTGAGGCTGAGGCTGAGGCAGGCTGAGGCTGAGGCAGGCTGAGGCTGAGACTGAGGCAGGCTGAGGCTGAGGCATGCTGCGGCTGATGCCTGAGGCAGGCTGAGGCTGAGGCTGAGGCTGATGCAGGCTGAGGCTGTGAGGCTGACGCTGAGGCTGATGCAGGCTGAGGCTGAAGCCGAGGCAGGCTGAGGCTGAGGCTGAGGCAAGCCGATGCAGGCTGAGGCTGAGGCTGAAGCTGAGGCAGGCTGAGGCTGAGGCTGAGGCTGTGGTTGAGGCTGTGGCTGAGGCTGAGGCAATCTGCGGCCGAGGCAGGCTGAGGCTGAGGCTGATGCAGGCTGAGGCTGATGCAGGCTGAGGCTGAGGCTGAGGCAGGCTGAGGCTGAGGCTGTGGCCGAGGCAGGCTGAGGCAGGCTGAGGCTGAGGCTGAGGCAGGCTGAGGCGGAGGCTGACGCCGAGGCAGGCTGAGGCTGAGGCCGAGGCAAGCCGAGGCAGGCTGAGGCTGAGGCTGAGGCTGAGGCTGAGGCAGGCTGAGGCTGAGACAGGCTGAGGCCGAGGCTGAGGCAGGCTGAGGCTGAGGCAGGCTGAGGCTGAGGCCGAGGCAGGCTCAGGCCGAGACAGGCTTAGGCTGAGACTGAGGCTGAGGCTGAGGCTGAGGCCGAGGCAGGCCGAAGCTCAGACAAGGTGAGGCTGAATGGGGGGGCGGGGGGGGAAGGGGGGGGGGAGGGGGGAGGGCTGACGCAGACTGAGGCCGAGGCAGGCTGAGGCCGAGGCAGGCTGAGGCTGAGACTGAGGCAAGCCGAGGCAGGCTGAGGCTGAGGCTGAGGCTGAGGCTAAGGCATGCTGAGGCTGAGGCAGGCTGAGGCTGAGGCTGACGCAGGCTGAGGCCGAGGCAGGCTGAGGCTGAGGCTGAGGCAGGCTGAGGCTGAGGCCGATGCAGGCTGAGGCTGAGGCTGAGGCCGAGGCTGAGGCAGGCTGAGGCTGAGGCTGAAACTGAGGCAGGCTGAGGCATCCGTAGGAATCCATGGAATCTTTAGGAATCCCTAGGAATCCTTAGGATTCCATTGGATCCTAAGGCCGTTGCCACTGCGACTGTCATTGCGAATGCGACTGCGACTGCAAGAACAGCAGAATTCTACAACTGGATTCTCACCTGAATCTTAAGGGGAATGCTTCCAGATATGCTTATACACATCGCTGTTAGGTTACTTTGCCAGGATAATTCCTTGCGGGAAGCAGCCTGCTTATTATTTTGTGCGCTGAGCTTTATTCCGGGAATCTGTTTTGTTCTGCCCGGAAGACCGTTTTAACGGCCACGGATTCGCCAGCCCTCGCCCAGCTTCCCACGGCGCAGTCCGACGTGATCTACCTTCGGAGCGTCCGCGCACTCCCAGGGGCACGAGCCACGGGGGCCTCCAGGTCCACGCTGCAGCCAGCCTCTCCGCAGCCGTTCACCTGTGACCCTCCCGCCGAGGGTCCGCGGACCGCCACACGGGCCGCTCAGTGTGGCCACAGGGCAACAATTCCAGCCTGTCCCCGTGATGTCGCCCAAGGCGTAGTCCGATGCGACCCGCCTGGGGCCGCTCAGTGTGGCCACAGGGCAACAATTCCAGCCTGTCCCCGTAATGTCGCCCAAGGCGTAGTCCGATGCGGCCCGCCTTCTTGGCGTCCGCTGGCGTATTAGCCACGGGGGCCACCACGCCCACGTTGCAGCCACTCCCCCTGACGTGTAGTCCCTCGTGGCCCCTGTTCTGGGAGTCGGCCGACTACCACGGGGGATTCTCAGGCGGGTCACCAGACCCACCCTGAATTGGAAAGGCCTCAGTCGACCCACCGCTCCGTCTGCCAGCGATGTAAGGGTGCAATGTTTGACCCAACAAATCGCTTGATTGAGGATCTGCCAGCTACCAGCGGGCCCCACGACGTCCGACGACCGTCCGCCGACCGTCAGACGGCGAGCCAGACGACGCTGACCCGACTCACAACCGCGCGTCGGCCGTCCGCCGGTCGTTCGTTACCCAGCGATGACCATCCGACGACCGTCGACGACCGTCCGCTGACCGCCAGACTTACCGCCGACGACCGACTGTTGATTGTCCGACATCTGACGACGACGATTGACGACCGTCGGCTACCCAATGACCAACGCTCGCCCCAACGCGGCACCGGCCGCCATGGCGCATCCTGACCGGACCTGACCAGCAGGCAAATCGCAGCCGCCACGGGCTGCCTTCGCGTTTCCAGCCGCACGTTGCAGTTGCCACGCAACCTCTGGCCCCCCTCCAATCGAGCACGCAAGCTGACTGATAGCTTGGCCGCCGACTCCTGGAGCCCCACTCCTGAGCCATTGCCGAGCATTTTCGACGAGCGCCATCACCACGGTCTTGCAGAAGTGGGCCACGTCCACATCTGCACGGTGACCTTCCAGCTGGCCACCTGGGCGCTGCTGCGAGCGTCGCCCCCGCGGTTCGCGCCGTGCTGCGCCAAGGGTCGCGCCGAGGCACCAGCGGCAGCCGCGAGGCTCGCTACTCGCGTGCACCGAGCGCCACGCGCAGAGGAGGACACTGACGATCCCCGTTGCCATTGCATCCCTCGGCACATCACCGCCCGACCGCCAGCGACACCGCCAGCGACACCGCCAGCACCATCACCCACTGCGTCGGGGCCACCAAGACCCACCAAGGCCAAAGCATCGGCAGGTGGTCCCCCCGCACCTCCACCACTCCACGAATGTGCCGAGGTGGCGGCTACCGACCAGGGACGCAGCCCCATCAACGGCCGCCGCGGCACCGTCGTCAGACGACAGTGCGCAGACGCCCGCCGCCGACGCACGCCGCAGGAACGTCGACCGACCGACGCGCGCGCTTGACGACCAGGCAGCCACAGGCCGACGTCACCCCACCGTGGTCCCTAGCGGCTCGCCTGCCTAGTGGCCGATGAGCACCACTGGCGCCTCTCAGCAGGGCCACTAGGCCCACGCGACAGCCAGACTTCGAGCTGTCACGCACACCATCCCCCCGCCCCGTGCCGCGAAGGGGTTGGCGTGTTCGTTCTACTCCTGCGCGCCCCATGCTGGACCCTCCTTCGCGGGCTCGCTTGGCTGGCCACCGTCGCCCGCGAGCTGGCCGCTCTCCTCCGCGTGCTGCTCCACCTCGCACCGCGCTGCCGCAGAACGACGAGGCCCGTGACCCGCCGCGGGCCTCGCTGTCGCCCCCCCAGCGCCTGTCGGAGTGGCGCGCCGCCACGCGCAGCCGCGTGGCGCAGGCCGGATCGCCGGCTTCCGTCTGGGACTCGGGGAAGGCGGACGAGGAGGAGGAGGGGGCGGAGGCGGAGGCCACCAGGCTGTCCCGCCAGCGACGGAGACACCGCTGTTCGCCAGGCCAGAGGCCCCCCACGGCCCCCCACCAGGCCGTCGCGCCATCTCAGCCCAGGCGCCTGCCGCCAACCTGGTTCACCGCACTTCGGTTGCCGACCTCCGACCCGCCCTCGGACCCCAGGGATTGCGGAAGAAGGCCCCTCCCTGGCCCGACGCGCTAACAGCGGACATTTGCCTCAGGCTCCGCGTGCGAGCACTGCGTTCCCTGCCCGGGACCACGCGACTGACCCTGGCATGCAGCTTCAACGCCCTTCCTTTCTGCCTTGGTGACACCTTTGGCGCCAACCATGGCGCTGCGGGCGCGTTGGTCATGCGCGCCTTCTTCGGGCGCTTCGCCATGGAATCTGACGACGCCTGGCTGGACGCCTTTAACCAGCGCTTGGGACCGACGTACCCCGACGTCGACAATTTCATTCGCACCCGTACTCCGACGCCTTCCGACGACTGACCGACGGCTGTGCTGCCTCCTAGGGGCACCAGCCAGACTCATGCTGCCCCTCGGTGCCGCTGCTTCCTCCGCCTGCCTCTTCAGGCGTGCGCCGCCAGGTGCACTTCCCTTGCAGGTCGGGACCTGCTGTGCGGTCTATGGCAAGCTTCCTGGCTGCGTCCATCCAGAGGCCCAGCTCCCGTTGCACTGAGGCCTTCTCGCCTCTTCCGCATTCGGCCCCCCGCGGGGGGTGTTGACCCCTCGTGCGGCGAGGGGTGGCAGGGCTCCTGCGCCTCCCCTGCTCCTGGCGGGCCCCCCCCTCGCTGGCGGTGCCTCCTGGCGCCGGCGGCCCAGGGCCGGGTGGGGCCGGGGGCGGCCGTGCTTGCGCGGCCGCTGGTTCTCGGGTCTTGTCGCCCCTAGGTTCGCGCGGGGAGGCCCTTGCACTTCCCTGCTGGGTTGGGCCGTTTGCGCGTGTTTAGCGCGCCGGCGCTGGCCTCTCCCTTTGTCGTGCGCTGCGAGAACACCTGGCAACTTCTTCCGCGGACCCGGCACCAGTCCGCCGAGGCGGATGAGCCCCAGCGCGGCGCCCCCTTTCCCACGGGTTCCGAGGCGCACGTGCCAAAGCGCGCTAAAAGCTGGAGTCTCTTCCAGTTTCGGGTGTGCAGACAGGGTGTGCCACACCCTCATTGTCATGGACCGCTCGAATTTCCAGTCGGTGTCCCTTACCGGCCTTCTCCCCTCACCGCTCTCGCTCTCGTCGGTTTCGCCGTCGCCGCCGTGTCGTCTCCTCCCCCCCGCCGCTGCTGGAAGGCTTCATACAGCGCTGGATTTTTGGCTTCGACCTGAACCGTCAGTTTGCGTCTGGAGCGGACGCCTCGTTCCGCGCAGGCGCGCTGAGCGGGAGGGGAATCGAGAGTGGGAGGAGGATTTGGGGAAAGGTGGCCGGTGGAGGTGCGTTTTGGAAACCGAGCTTCATTTGTAACCGCCAGAGATCGGGGCATGCTTTGATGTCGGGGTCGATTTTGAAGAGGAAACCCGTCTGTGTGTGTGTGTGTGTGTGTGTGTGTGTGAAGTACATCTCGATGCCCAAAGTACTGAAGGACATGTTTCTCTTAATCCGAGATCGACTTTAGAAAGCACGCAGTTTTTTCATGGTGGCGGTGGTCGTGAGGAGCAGGAGCAGGAGAAGGAGCAGGAGGAGGAAAAGGAAAATGAGGAGAAGGAGGAGGAGGAGGAGGAGGAGGAGGAGGAGGAGGAGGAGGAGGAGGGAGGAAAAGGAAGAGGAAAAGGAGGAGGAGGAGGTGGAGGAGGAGGGGAAGGAGGAGGAGGAGGAGGAGGAGGAGGAGGAGGAAAAGGAGGAGGAGGAAGAGGAGGAGGAGAAGGAGGGGGAAGAGAGAGAAGTTGAGGGCGCAGGGCCACGGGCCCAGATCACACCAGCGGAGTCTCGCGAGAAGAGCAGAGATCGATTTCTCCAGTTTGGGCGAGTGTTCCGAGGCTCGCACACGAGAGACCCCTGTGCGAAGCTTCTCCTGTTGGGCCCCAGGAGGAACGCAGGGCCTCGTGCCCAGATCGCACCAGTGGAGGTCCGTGTGCAGAACGGAGATCGACTCCCTCGATTTCGGCGGTCGCTCCGAAATTCACACACGAGAGACCCGTGTGAAGCTCCTCCTGCAGCGCCCCAGGAGGAGCGCAGGGCTTGCCCAGATCACACCAGCGGGGTCCAGCTTGCAGAGCGGAGATCGACGACAACGGCTTCGGGCTCGTCGGGGACGCTGTCGGTGGTGGCCACAGCCATGGGGAAGCATAACACGGGCAAGGACCAGTATCGGTTTTACTTCGCCAACACCACATCATGGGGACAGAAGGCATGGGACTACCTGAACCAAGTGGACGCAGGTTTTGCCGTCTCCGGCACCATCATGATTGCGGAGCACCACGGGCATGTTCCACAACACAACCAGGCGATTCAGCGGCTGACCCTCTCTGGTTGGTCAGTCACTTCTCAGAGCGCAATGGGCACGGCGCGAGGCGGATCACATGGTGGAGTTTGGCTCATGACCAGGAAATGGCTCCAGCATTCCCCTCTGTATCCTCAAGCCAAACGAGCAGTTCAATGAGAGAGGGCGACCTGTAATGATACCCACTTTACCCAGTCACAGGGCTCGGCCTCCAAGGGGAGAACACGTCCATCTTGACGCAGGTAGCAGGGTACGTGCGCTCGCAAGGCACGCCGTATGTCATAGCAGGTGATTGGAACATGGGGATTGGCGAGGTGGCGGAGAGCGGCATTCACATCTGCCCCCGCGGAGAGTCCTGAGCAGCGCTTGAGGAGGCTCCGGGTGTAGCCAGGGCGATTGATTGCTGCCTTTACCCTGAGGCGCTCAGCACAGTTCTGACGCTAGACTAGGACCCCAGGTCTCCTTGGGTCCTGCCGCACACGGGGCTTTTTGGGACTCTGGACAGTAGTAAGTTTCAGCAGCTCACCTGGGTCCTCACGCAGCCCCCCCCCCGCTGGTTCGAACCCAGGGCCCAGACCTCCCCTGGACTTTCCTGACAGAGTAGGCACCCTAATTCAGCGAGGGACGGAGGCGGCCCAAGGGAGAGGCAGCTCGGCACGGGCCCGCCTCTTCGGCCAGTCGTATATGCGTTTCTGTTCAGCTGCCGAGTCTTTCCATGCCACTCGGGACCCCACCAGTTGTTTCGATGATGTAGACATGCGCAGTGGTTTTCACGCTGGCGTGCAGCAGGTTCCCTTAGCCGAGACCAAGCCGCAGGGCTGGCTGGCGGAAGCTTTTAATTTCTCGATCTGGTCAGCGCTGCTCACCCGTCTCGCTGCCTGGGTCGGGCTCGCCAGGAAAGCGAAGCCCGGCGAAGCCCCTGGGACCGGGGTCCAGAGCTTGCCAAGGCTTCTGGATGACAGGGAGGAGGAGGAGGAGGAGGAGGAGGAGGAGGAGGAGGAGGAGGAGGAGGAGGAGGAGGAGGAGGAGGAGGAGCTTCTTGTTTTTTCTGGAGCAGCTCGAGGATCAGGCCCCGAGGGCAAGACTGGGGGCCTGCCTCGGGAAGCTTCTTCGGATTTTGCGTCAGGCTGGGGCCCGCCACGCTTGGCAGTCTTCGAAGGGTTTTAGAGATTGGCTCCGGCAGTCCCTAGCTGACGGGCACGGGGCCCTACATTTTCACGCTGCGACGTGGGGGCTGGCCCCGAGCCTCAGCTCAGAGCGCGGCGCTGAGGGTGAAGTCTTGCGCGCCCCCATGGGGCCCCATGCGTCGAGAGCGGAACCCTGGGGTAACCTCTGGCTTTCGGGGCCGAGTGAAGTGGGGCCTCCCTGGTGGGGGGGCTTTCGGGCCAGGCCGTCTCGAGATGCCCGGGCTCGGGGGCTCATCTCGGGAAGCCGGCTTCTGGGCGCTTTAAATTGTCCTGGGCCAGTCGTCGGAAAATGAGCCGACTGCCAGAGTCCCAGGGATTGGTTGCAGCTCCAAGCAGCGGCCCTGCAGGAAGTATTGGGCCTCGTCCATCACATAGAAGCAGAGCTTACCTGGCGCCCGCAGGTGGGGCTCATTATAATCCAGCTCATCTTCAACAGCGTTGCAGCGGATCGCCCGGTAACGCTTGCCCAAGGCCTCTATCGAGTCTGGGGTAGGGCGCTTCGGCAAGACATGTCGGAATTGACGGTGGAGCGGGCTCAGTTATGAGATCGGCTGGCGAGGGATTCGCCAGCCTCGCGCGCGGGCATTCTCCGTCAGACCCAGTGCGAGATAGCCGCCGCCGTCGGTGCCAGCTGGATTCAGGCCCCGTGGCACTGGGAGAAATGTCATGATCATGTCGAATTGCAGACGGTGGTGGACATTGCAGCTGGAGTGGATTATCCACTCGTGCCTCTGTTCCTGGCTTTAAATATGCGCGGGGCTCCGAGGCGTTTCCGAGCCTCGGAGGCCATCTCGCGCGAGCTGTTCCCAGCCATGCATTTATGGGCAGGCTGCTCTCGAAGGGTAGACATTGCGAAGGTAGCCCCCCTGGGGCATCCGGGAAGACGCCCGCGCCCGTTTTCGGCCGCTCCCGCCAAGCACTTGAGTGGGTGATCTCAGCCAGAGGCACGTAGGCAAGGCAGAGGTCATAGTCAAGCAGACTTGCGAGGCCAGCGCAGGTCAGGGGAACTCTCTGGGCAGGTCTGGCTTCAGGATCTCCGCCAAGAGCCAGGCCTCGTCCAATCCCCGAGCCCTGGCCACGGAAGTGCTAGCTGACTATGCTCGACGGTGGCTTTCTCTGCGAGGAGGCCCCGCGGGAAATGGCCCGGGCATTTGCATTGTGGGCGCAGGGCGCCCAGTCACGGCCTTCGAACAACGTTTCATTCGGCCCGTCATCGAGCCAGCGCGATAGGGAGAGTCGCCAGGACCGACCGCCGTTGCAAGACGTGATCACGGACAGCGTGGCTTGCCCAGGCCCTCTCGGGGTGGGGCGTTCCAAGGCGCAAGTCCGACTGTGGCCCTCAAGGCTAGAGCTGATGGGCCGATTTCCCACCTCTACTACCATAAGTAGGAGAGAGGAGGGGGACGGGAGGAGGAGGAGGAGGAGGAGGAGGAGGAGGAGAAGGAGGAGGAGGAGGAGGAGGAAGAGGAGGAGAGGGAGGACCTCCCCATCCCCCCCTCTCCCACGTCCTACCTATGGTAGTGGTGGTGGAATATACGCCCATCAAGAGCGGCCGTGGCGGGCATGGTTGGGCGAAGAGGGCTGGGCGCGCCGCGGCGGCGTGGCGTCGCGCTGTTCAAGACCCCCGCCGTGGCCCCGTGATTTCCGCCAGGAACCGAGTCTTGAAGGAGTGGGTCTATCCGCCCCCTAGCCTGCAAGAAGCTAACCTGATGGGCCTGTTTTCCACCACCACCACCATAAGTTGGAGAGGGAGCAGGAGGAGGAGGAGGAGGAGGAGAGGAGGAGGAGGTGGAGGAGGAAAAGGAGGAGGAGAAGGAGGAGGAGGAGGATGACGCCCTCACCCTCCAACTTATGGTGGTGGTGGTGGAAAACAGGCCCATCATAACCTGCATGGTCTCCGCGCTGCTTGGGGGCAGGCGGCAGCTTGATTGCAGGGCCCCCTCCGCCCGCCGGAAGAAAGTTCACGGCTTTGTCGCAGCCGCAGTTGCGCGCCCGCTGGGGGCAGGGCGGGCGCCGCGGGAGCCTGCGGCCCGGGCCGGTTCGGGCGGCGAAGTTCCCCAAGTGCCCGCCGGCGATCCAGGGCGCCTCGCGCCAGATCTTTCGGGGGCGTTTCGCGTTCTGGCATGGGGAAAAGCATGCGAGCACTATCGCGGCAGTAGTCTAGCAGGACGAGCTGACATGTCTGTTCCGCGTCGGAGGTTGGATGGGCTCAGAGCCCCGGGGGCCCGCGATCATGCTGGAGTTTGGGAAATGGTCCTGTCGGGCCCCCCTGGGCAGCTTCGAGGCGCCCCGGGGGTGGGGCTCGGAGGCCCATCCCGAGGCCGCGGGCTCAAGGGGGCCCTCGAGCGCCCGACCGAGATTCCGAGCGCGAGGCCGGCCTCCTGACCCCCCTCAGGCTCTCCGCCCTCGCCTTGGGGTCGACGAGGAAGATTGTGATCTTGATGCGCTGTTGGAAGAAGCATCGCGTGCCGCAGAGGAGCTGCGGCTTCAAGAGGAATTGCAGTGGGGCCCTCTGGAGGAGGAGCCCATCGCGGGGCCCGGCCCCGTCTGGGCCTCTCCCTCCAGCCCTCGCCGTGGGGCGCCTCAGGAGACCCTCCTCCGCCAGCTCTGGAGCTGCCCGCTCAACGACCCGATCCCAGGTTTCAGCTCCTCTCTTCGTGCGCGTGCGGAGGCAGAGTCGGAAGCCGCCCCCTCTTTTTGGCTGCGTGGGCTTCAACCCCTAGACTGGGCGTGTCAGCGCGTTGGTGCCCCAGTCCAGGGAGAAGAGCAGCTCTCGGGCCAGCTTGGATGGGGGCCCGCTCGAGCTCGATGAGGGGCGCGTGATTGTCGGGCGGGGCGGGGCGGGGGGGGGGGAAAGAGTTCCGATCCTCGGCTGGGGAGATGTGGCTGGGGCTTCGCCATTTTACGTGGAGCCCGGCATGTAGCGTGGGGGCTCGGCCCCCTGCCTCGTGACAATCAGACAGCTCCAGCGGCCGAATTGCATGCCGTCACTCGTGCAGCGCAGCTCGCGACAGGCCACGTCGAGTGTGTGATTGACAATGAAGGAGCTGTCCGCGGGATTAGAGCTGGCCCCCATTTCAGGCGTAGGAGGAGGATTTTTGATGTGGAGGGAACTTTGGGGAGCTGTAGGTGGTCGATCCATCGCGTTTCTCAAGATTCGCTCGCACCTCGCTTTAGAAGATGCAGGCGACCTCGGTTTTGAACCAGCCCAGTGGCAGGCGAACCGCCAGGCGGATGAGGCTGCAGAGGAAGGGGCCAAGAGCGCCCAAATTCCCTTCCATGCGTGTCGTCGAGTTGCCGAGGTAGATAATATGTGGCGGTTTCTCTTGGCGTTTTCGATTGCTCTGGCCCGGCAGGCCCCGACCTCGTGCGGGGCCTCGGCCAGGGGGGGCCGCCGGGAGGAGGCGAAGATTTCCCTTGCCCGTTCGCGCCAAGAGAGCTCGTCGAACAGTCGGCGCACTCGGTGGGGCAGAAGGCCCGGGGATTTCGGCGTCGTACTGTCTGTTGCCAGCCCGACCGAGGGGGGAGAGAGGCTTTCCTCTGCCGGGGGTGGCCCAGCAGTTTTCATTCTATTCTTTGAGTGGGGTGCCCCAATGGACTTTTCCTCCGAGGCAGGCAAGAGGCAAGAGGAGAGAGGAGTTGAGCGCTGGACACCCTTTTTTTTTGAGAGCCGGTGATGGTCTTCTGTCCTCCATCCTTCCGCACCGCTGGTCCGTGTACTTCCTCCCGCCTTGCAGTCTCGCAAGTGTCGATGCGAGTGCGCGGAGGGCCAGGAATATGGTTGAGGAAGAAACAGTGGAAGAAAGGGCAGCGAAGAAAACAAGGAAAGAAACGGAAGGGAAGAGGTAATCTATAAAGGGTAGGGCAGCAGCGTTCCCCTCTCCGCCTTCCCCTCTCCTTGGCCTCCCCTCCCCTCTCCCCCCTCCCTGCCGCCTTCCCCTCTTCCCACCCCCCCTTTTCCCTGACCTCCCTTGCCCTCTTCCTGCCCCTCTTTTCCTCCTCCCCTGTCCCCCCCACTCACTCTTCTGCTGCTCCTCCAGCCTCCTTTTCAGTTCTGCTTGTGCTAGTCTTCATCGTCATTATCTTCTCTTTTCGCTCCTCAGTCCCTCCTCCACCTCCGTCCTCCCTCGTCCCTCTCCCTCCCCACCCTTCCTCTTTCGTCCCTCCTGATTATTCTTCCTCGCCCTCGTCCTCGCCATTGTCATCGTCGCCCTCGTCATCGTCGCCGTCGTCGCCGTTGCCGTCGCCGCCGCCATCGTCACCGCTGTCGTCGTCATCGTCGCCGTCGTCGTCGTGAGTCTGCGTCAAGGCATGGTCGTGGCGCTCTGCGCGGTGTGCTGGTGGATCCCCCCGTTGCAGTGGCTGACGGAACAGGCGCGGCATTGGCGCGTCGCCCCGGCCCGAAATCGGACGGCTAACAACGACCACGGCGGTGGCGGCGAAGGAACCGACGAGGGGGACCACGAGGGGACGTAATAGTAGCAGTAGCAGTAGCAGCAGCAGCAGCAGCAGCAGCAGCAGCAGCAGCAGCAGCAGCAGCAGTAGTAGTAGTAGTAGTAGTAGTAGTGGTAGTAGTAGTGGTGGTAGTAGTAGTAGTAGTAGTAGTAGTGGTAGTAGTAGTAGTAGTAGTAGCAGTAGTAGTAGTGGTAGTAGTAGTAGTAGTAGTAGTAGTAGTAGTAGTAGTAGTAGTAGTAGTAGTAGTAGTAGTAGTAGTAATAGTAGTAGT